ATGTTGTAACTTATCTTTTGGCATTTGTTTTGGCAAATAACACTGTTGAATTAAATTTTGTACACAAGGAGAAACGCAACCAAAAGGTAATTTCATTAATTCATTAGAACCCTCTTCTAAATTTACATGATTGTCAAGATTAGTAGAAGTAGAATCACGGTAAAATTTGATCGAATTTGAACCAACACTGCAGACTTCTTTGACCTCTAAAATTTTGACCTTTTGAGGGAGAATCGAAGTAAGGCTCATGACATTCACATATTCACATAGTGGTTGATCCGATTGATCCGATCATACATCGACTAGTATTCACTTTTCTCCACATCCTCTAAGGATATCTCGTACTGTGGTTTCTTCTTTTTTATAGTCATCATTTCCTCCTCATAGCTTTCTTCATCATCAATGTTGATGGTCGGCCTAGTCTGTTCAACAATCGTATTGGCTCTTCCTCGTCCACATCCCCGGCCTCCATCTCGGTTCAATGGGCTAAAATAACCTCTACCACCTCATTGCAAAGAGATGATAATAGATTTTTGAAGTGGAGTTGAATAGCCTTACCATTGTAATCCTTTTAAATCTTCACTTTTATTCGTCACCACTTCACGAGAGATGGCAGCTTTCTTTAGAGGTGCGTAGTAAGCGGCTTCTTCATGAATGCCAACTTCATGAACTAAAAACAGTTGCAAATCTCATTTGATGCAATGCACTTATCCTTCCTTATAATACTTAATGCATTAGTGTAGAGACGACAAAACCATGTTGTGTTCGTGAATCCATGGTCGACCTAGTAGAGCATTAAAAGAGGTCTCAACATTCATGATATGGAACTTGACGGTTATTAATAATTTTTTGCTAGCTCTCCAACCTTCATAAGCAATGCAATCGATCCAAGGGCTCTCTCTCCCTTTTGGTTGAATCATCTTAGCATCATTTTATCTACCGTAAGCTCCTGAGCCTCGATTTCTAAATAATATGGAATTTAGCAGTTGTTACTAGTTCTCCAACCTTCATAAATAATGTGATTGATCCAAGGGATCTCTCTTCCTTTTGGTTGAATCCTTTTAGCATCATTTTATCGGTCATAAGTTCCTAAGCTTCAATGTCCAAATAGGCCAATGTTCGTAGGCTCATTAAGTTGAGGGATGCTCCGAGACCTACCAAAACTCTGGACAACACAAATCTGTCAATGTTAACGGAGATGTAGAGTGGACGGTTGGGGATGATTCCATCAAGCAAATCATAATATGTCCAAGTGTCTCCAAGATTCCCAAAGGATCATGAAAAGGTCCTGGGTAATACCCTAGACGTTTCACAGTCCCTGGAGTCGTCTCGAGTTCATTTTAGTCTTATTATGTTGCTATATGTTTCACCCAATTCATACTCTTATGCTCAATGAACCTTGATGTTTTGATTATCTTTTTAAGTTGGGTAGTTATCATTTGATGCATCACTTACGAATTATACGGGTAAAGGCCCTCAGGGACAATTTGGCTTAATTAAGAAACTTGGTCGGTTTGATTTTTAAAGATGGGCATGTAGTGTTTTTTTTAAAAAGTTTCAAATTATTTATAGTTCATTGTCTAAACCTCATTAGACAAAATTTTGATTAAGACTAATTCACCACTAAGCCCTTAAAACATCATGACTAGATTCGTAATTTTTAAACAAAAACTAAAATATTTATGCTTTTAATCCTTATGAGGAATCATAAATCATTTTAAAACCATTAATTAGGGTTTTAAATTAGTGGGTTATGATCTTCCAAAGTTAAACCCCCAGCCTCAATATCATCTTATACGGGTAAAGGCCCTCAGGGACAATTTGGCTTAATTAAAAAACTTAGTCAGTTTGATTTTTAAAGATGGGCATGCAGTGTTTTTTTAAAAAGTTTCAAATTATTTATAGTTCATTGTCTAAACCTCATTAGACAAAATTTTGATTAAGACTAATTCACCACTAAGCCCTTAAAACATCATGACTAGATTCGTAATTAAAAAAAAAAACTAAAATATTTATGCTTTTAATCCTTATGAGGAATCATAAATCATTTTAAAACCATTAATTAGGGTTTTAAATTAGTGAGTTATGATCTTCCAAAGTTAAACCCCCAGCCTCAATATCATCTTATTTAACTACTCTTCTGAATTTTGTCAATTTAAGAAATTACAAATTTATCCTTAATGAGACCAAAGTGAGCAAAGTGAGATTGGTTACTGCATTTTATATTTCAATCATCTAGACATATAAATTATGATCATTTATTACCCATTTACCCTTTGGTTAGGCCTAAATATTAATTAAGGCTTGCCTAAATATTAATTTGGTTAGGCCTAAATATTAATTAAGGCTTAAATTCCAAGATTGTCGTTTTGCTCTTAGGGCCTTGACACCTTATAATTCATTAAATTAAACCCAAATGACTTTTAGATTTTTATGCTACCCCACTCATGGTTTAATTAAAACATCATAGGAGAAAATGTAATTTTTTTTAATTTATTTAATTTTATAATTATTTTAAGGCAAAAATAGGGATTTTTAAAGAAAATTCAATAACTCAACCCAAACAAAATCTCTGTTCTTAAGAAAAATTCTGGGGGTTCACCTAGGTTGGAGGACCACTTGGACCAATTTTCATGATATTTAAATGTTTAATTTAATTATTAGAATTATTTGTTTGTTTTGAGTATTAATTAAATATAAAAAATTATTTGTTGAAATTTGTAGCTAATTTTTGTTTTTACGAACTATTCATTCATTTTTAACCTTTTTTGAATTGACTCAGACTTCTCCTGTCTCCCCAAATACATATAGGGTGGTGATTTTGACTTGAGAATGCAAATAATTTAAAATTTGTGTCACTATGAGCTAGATTTGATGTCAACAACTCTAAAATACAGTAAGGACAGATCAAATAGAATTTGAATTGAGTCAAGCCTAAACCTAATTTAAATAGCTACGCATGTATATAATTATTATATATGCATACCTATTTAAATCAATGCAGACGTGCAACCTCACAATACTTATATTATGTAAATTGTTACATATATATGAATACTTGTTTTTATATTAACCTACGCATCACTTCAAAAATATCACTATGTATCTAACAACTAAACCTGATTTGGGTAAAATTTATCTTTTTTGTATTTTCATCAGCAAATTGAGTTAATTCAGATTTAGTAGGCCTGCTGGTTTTTATAATGAGTAATGTTTTAATTTTATGTAATTTGCTCTTTTTGAGGTTTTTTAGAATTAGTTTTATTTTAAATTAAGAAATGGCTACAAAATTGAAAAATTGAAGTTTTTCTTAGATCTGTGTAGAAAATACCAAGGCTTCAAACTGATGTGTGCAAGGAGTCTTATTCTAAGAAAAATCTAATATTTGTGCGGAGGTACTCATCTCAACTATAAATGGCAAAGTATCTTATGTTTATTATTTATTAATTCCTTATAAATAAATTAGACTTGTGTATTTATGCCAATAGTCATTTCTTCGTAATGAGTATGTTAATAGTATCTAATTTTACTAATAACTTCAATATATTACACATGTTCATCTGTTAAAAATAATTTTATGTTCTCATAGTGTGCAAGTGTTATGCCTTATATATAGCTCAGAAAAATTAGTGACACCATATGCATAACAAGTATATGTAACATAAAGTGTGACATTGTTGCTAAAGAGAAAATATAGGAAAGGTCAGCCATATGGGAAAATTTAACAAATTATGATGACTTACATAGGGAATGACATAAGCACCAATAAATGGGCAATTTTTAGGGACAAACGGGATTCCACTCAATAATTATACACCAGTGTAACTGAGTGTTATCTTGCTATATTAAGGTGATTTTATTATCAACTACAATAATAGGATAACAAATTAGGTAACCATCATTTATATGCGCCAAAACATGAATAACTATTATATGGTACTTCTAAGACTATGACAAGTGAGAATGAGAAATTATTATGTAAGCAATACGTTATACCGAATGATTGCACACATGATAATTATAATTTCATTTCTTGCAAACAATCATGCTTATTGTTTATTAATATGTTGAAGTATTTTTTTCAATTGTCAAACCATGTCTTAACTTTATGTTCAATGCATCAACTTATATATATGATTACTGATATTTTTTTCAGTTAAAAAAAGAAAACTAGCATGAGATATATTCAACATTTTTAGATCACCAAGATTTAAAGTTTGTCAAACGCAAGTCTAGTTTCAAGCTTTTGCTTTAGATAAGGAAAAGAGTAGGTTGGAATGAAATAAGGTTTTCAGATTTGACCTTCATTTCAATATTTTGATTTACAAATTTAAGTGCATCAAATAAAGTGAATGATTAATTTTCTTATAACATATATTAAAAATATATGATGTGACTTTATTAATTTAGACAGGCCTGATTGAGAAAAGTTTTGCTTGACATGGAATGTTTGGCATGAAATGCATTGAGTCTACCAAAATTAATCAGAGTCTACTATTTTTCTTATTCAACAAAAAAAAAAACATTTTCAATTTCTTATTCAACATAAAAACATTTTGTATTTCGCACAATCTTTTGAAGTCTTGTTCAACAAAATAGTTTTTAATAGTAGAAGTTGCAAATCTGAGATGACTAACAGATCAAACATTCTATTGCATGTAGAATAAATACTACATTCTTTCACGCATCACAAACATTCAAGAGAATTATTTGTTTTTTATTAGTATTCATACCAATTTTTGATTGGTTATTCCAAACAACAATTTACCTTAATAATCAATAATTGACTCTTTAATTAGTTTGTTCAAGATTTACTTACATGACACTAAGCTCCTTTGTAATTACATATCTAGCACCTAAACATAAATTTTTTATATATATGCTACCTTATCTATGCATGAAAAAAGATCTATTTTGCAATTTGAAAAGTAAAAAATAATCATATTTTTCATGTGATATGAAAAATTTGGGTAGTATAAATGTAAAAAGTAGCCTGTAGGTGTTAGATACGTATATACAGAGGATTTGGGTGGTATGTATGCAAATGCCCCTTTGTTCGATGCAATTGATCTACCTGTTCAACAAACTTGAGAAGAACTGAATGCTTATTAGCATACTACATTCAGTACATAGCAGAGAGCAAAAAACAAGACTGTTGTGCTCTAAGTTTATGATAGATTGACCTCATACAAGAGATCAGCATAAATGCTAAAGAAAAGGTAAGAAACGTAAATGAAGGGAATGGTTTTCTTGGAACTGTCGAGCATAGAAGGAATCATATGGTTGAAATCACCACTAGTCATAATCGAGAAGTGTGTCGCACCAATTGAAATCCTCCACGGAGGTCGTCATAGGTGAATCAGAAAGGAAGAATCTTGATAAATCCTCCATGGAGATATCGTCAAGAAAAGGAGTTAGAGGAATGGTGTTCTGTTCCTGCGGTGCTGTCTGATCTTGCTGGAATTGGGAAGAAACCATGGCTGCATTGGATGCTTCGAGGAAGCTTAACCTCTCTCTAATCTCTGTTAGGGGAATGGTGTTAGAGGAATGGTGTTCTGTTCCTGTGGTGAAGATATCGTCCATGGAGAAATCATTAAGAAAAGAAGTTAGAGGAATGGTCTTTTGTTCCTGCGGTGCTGTCTGATCTTGCTGGAATTGGGAAGAAACCATGGCTGCATTGGAGGATGCTTCTGCTTCGAGGAAGCTTAACCTCTCTCTAATCTCTGTTAGGGGAATGGTGTTAGAGGAATGGTGTTCTGTTCCTGCAGTGAAGATATCGTCCATGGAGAAATCGTCAAGAAAAGGAGTTAGAGGAATGGTGTTCTGTTCCTGCGGTGCTGTCTGATCTTGCTGGAATTGAGAAGAAACCATGGCTGCATTGGAGGATGCTTCTCCTTCGAGGAAGCTTAACCTCTCTCTAATCTCTGTTAGGCGAATGGTGTTAGAAATATGGAGTTCTGTCCCTGCCGTGAAGATATCGTCCATGGAGATATCGTCAAGAAAAGGAGTTAGAGGAATGGTGTTCTGTTCCTGCGGTGCTGTCTGATCTTGCTGGAATTGGGAAGAAACCATGGCTGCATTGGGGGATGCTTCTGCTTCGAGGAAGCTTAACCTCTCTCTAATCTCTATTAGTTTAGACCTCATTGCTAGCATTTCTTGTGAAACCAGCGGAAGGGAAGGAAAAATCGTTGAATGGTTTTGGCTCCCCATCTCAGATCTACGAAATTGGACGTAACGCTCTTTTATCCGGCGAAATTCGTCGGAGTCCTTCTCCGGCCAGGATTGGACGGCGTTAAGTTCCGGCGAGAAGGAGGCAACGAGCACGTCGACGCCGCAAAGGACGGAGAGTTCGAATGCTTTCCTCTTCAATCCCGTAATTCTCGTCATGTAAGTTGCGTGGCGGGCTCGGTAGTTCTCTCGGTACTTCATCTCCAGTTTTGCTCGCCCCATCGTCTGATCTCTTCTTCTCCGCTTCTCTGCTAGGCTTTCTACAAATAGAGCCAAATTTCAAAATGAGAAAGAAGAATTCTTAACATCCTCCATCTGTTGTTTGGGGGGAAAAACTTTTTTTCAAATTTTTTTTCTGACCGTTGCGAGTAGCCGTTGATAATGACCAGCTTTAACGAGAGTTATTCTCCACTACCGAGTTGATGCGTGCTAATCATCAGATTAATGTGAATTACACTTAGACCATTGGAACGTGCTCTTCGTTCTTATCCGAAACCAGCCTTTCCATGCTGCGAGGGAGATGCCTCATTGGCGCGGACAAAAAGATGGGTATAAAAGGAATGCAATATTCAACTAATTGAAATCTTTTAGAATTGTTTGGCTTAGTAAACGCCATGATCAAAATTTTTTTTTTTTTTTTGAATAAAAACAAATTCAATGTAAAACAAGTTCTTTAAAGTAATGTAATAATCGACATTAGGCATAAGGCATAAGTGCCTAATGTAATAAATTCTTCTGTATAAATTTTGATATAGGTCTTCTTGAAAGGAGATATTACAGAAACTCCTGAGTCCAATCGACATTAGGCATAAGGGCAATAAGAATTTGGAGAGGTCCCTTGCACTCCTACTAAAAGACGTCGATCAAAGTTTTTGAGGCAAGCCCCAAGTTCTCATAAATTTGCATGAGTAGTCTTTGCATAATTATGAGGTGAATGAATCATCAATCCAAATGAAGAATTTGAAAAAAAAATAGTATGATTATGTCGACGGTGGCAGAGATATCCCGAAAGAGTATGCAGGTCCTCTTCTAAGGAAATCCTTAAATTGATGATATATGATCCGAAAAAGACTAGGATCTCAAATCCTATGAAAGACTTCAAAAACAAATCTTTGACGCATCAATCCTATAAATTTAATCATATGTTCCAATACATGCACTCAAATTATTCAAATTCATTTATAACAATAGATGATCCGAAAAGCCAAAACAAATAGAACTTCTAATTGCGATTTTGACCGATGACCAATCGCCATCCAGCGGGGGTGGCATGGTGGCGATTAACCGCGACAGGGAGTAGCGAGCATTGGGTGGCCAATAGCGGCACTGGTAAGCGCCCAACAATGGCGACAATGGGATTCTGATGATGGGAATGACGATGGATGACTGATGGCGACTGACGACAGGTATTGAATGACTATATCACTTTATACAGCAGTGTATTTAAAATTCATCCAAATCCAATAAATTTTAAATAAATTAAAAAGGAAATATAAAGTGAATTATAAATACATTAGAATTTTATACTGTATTTACTTATTTTATGACTAAACACTTAAATTTAAGTCCTCTACAAAAAAGAATTGAATTAAATTCAAAATTTAACTTTAACAGTAAAAATGCCCTTGATCCATTTATCATCAATAGTGTGTTCATTATAGAGGGTTTGTTTAGGACAAATATAATAAAATTATTACTTTTATTATTATAAAAATTATAAATTAAATTGTATGTTTAGCCTTATAGTGACAGAAAAATTTACCTTGAGATGAATGTCAACGACAATATTGAAGGGAAGTTAATTTTATCTTTATCAATATCTATAATCAATTTGAACTCCATGTTATCTGTTTTCACTGAAAATAACAGTGAAAATTATATTTATGAACAAAGATTTGCATACATACCAAAGAATTCTTATCTATTTAAACTTTTAATTTTAATTTCATTTTATTTTCTACCGGATTAGGTGTCCATCGTATTGAACGAATTAATTGCATATTACTTAATATCAAATTTGACGCTTTGAATGCATCAACAAACTCCTTTTTTGGAGCAGGCAATGTTCAAGTAATCTCACTACATATCAAAATAATTATAACCCGACTAGCGAGATGAAATGTACTTGTTCTTTCACGTTTACTGTGCGATTAACTTTGGGATACGTTAAGTATTTTCTAAGTTGTCAACGCAAAGGTTTCTTCACATTGTCAAGGGCTTCACAATCTGTAATTTTTATCTTTCAGTCCAACCAACGTGATATTATATGTTACTCGCAATTTCAACATTTGTGAAAATAAATGCATGGGTTATGCCGATTGCTACCCCTTGAGTTGGATGTGAGTCCTTGATCTTTCCTTCCTAATGTAGTAATAATCAAATCTCAAGGTCAGTACCAAAATTTTGATTCCCTTCATGAAACTTTTAAGGTCGGAACCCAAATTCTGATTCTCATTTCGGGGTCAATAATTAAATTTTGATTTTGTCTCTTTACCTCTTGAGTTGGATGTGAGTCCCTGAGATTTCCTTCACAATATAGTAAAAATATAATCTCGGGTTCAGTACCTAAATTTTGATTCCCATCTCTGGGTCAATACCTAAATTTTGATTCCCTTCAATAAACTTCTAGGGTCAATACCTAAATTCTGATTCTCAAATCAGAGTTAGTACATAATTTATTATTCCCATCTCAGGGCTTGTACCTAAATTCTAATTCCCTTCATCAATCTCAAGTTCAGTTCTAAATTTTGATTCTCTTCATGAAATTTACGGGGTCCATACCAATCTTATGATTCCTATCTCAATACCTAAATTTTGATTCCCTTCATCAAATCTAGGGGTCAGTACCTAAATTCTTATTCCCTTTATGAAACTTTTGGGGTCAGTACCTAAACTTCAATTCCAATATCGAGTTCACTGCCTAAATTCTGAATCCCTTCATGAAACTTTCAAGGTCTTTACCTAAATTTGGATTCCCATCTTGAGTACCTAAATTTTGATTCTCTTTATGAAATTTCTAGAGTCTATACCTAAATTTTGATTCACATCTTGGGGTCAGTACCTATATTCTGATTCCCTCACGCTACATTTTGAGTTGGATGTGAGTCCTTGAGCTTTCCTTCTTAAGGTAGAGAAATATTTCTCTATCATTCTTTGAGTTGGATGTGATTTCGTATGCTTTCCATCTAAACCTGGTCTCCTCACCACAAAAATTGATTATTTCTGCAAAACCAAAATCAATATATAAATCCAAAAACAAATTGAAAACAAATTAAGCTTGTCGCGGTTATCGAGTTCCTGACAAGGAACCCTGATGATTGCCCATCTAAATTCATAAAAAATCCTTTTATATGGGTAAAAGAGCAAAGAACATTACCAAATGTTACAACTTTCATTGAAAAGTACGCCTGCTAATTCCATAGTGGAAACCTTCTTCACTCAATTCTATGTTTTGATTCTGACAGTGTTGGCTTAGAACATTTATGTTTCTTTGGTTGATCATTTTGATCATCTCCAACACACTCAATGTGCTCTTCTAGCACACCACACCTATTGGCGGTCCATTTGTTGACCTCGCTTTTGTTTTGGTCTAGTCTTTATTTTTTAAAAGCCTAGGATCTAGCCATAGAACTCTCCTGTTGACTATTCTAGAAGACTAGTGATGGAACCCTACCTAATAGAAACTTTAAACACTTTTTTACTCTTCTTGAAGTTCCACATGCATGGTTTTGACTTCTAGCACTTAGATGGTTGAAACCAACATGGGGGAGCTCAAGGGAACTCCTATAGAATTGTCAGGCTATAAGGTTAGCCCTGGGTGGCTTTGTCTTGGTCAAGCTTTCACACACAGACACTTGAAACTTTGACAAACTCACACATCACAAACCCTAAAATTACCTACACTAAACCCATTCCCTAACTCTTTGTAATCTAATGTGGGTTGTCCTCAAGCCCTTGGCCCTTGGCTAGGATAGCTAGGACCAACACATAGAGGATCCAAAATGAGCTTTCCCATTGGTTTCATGGCATCCTACAGGTAACATCATGGTTGGTATTTCTAGTGACCTCTAATTTCACCTTAATATCCTTCCTTGGCCTTCAACCCCCAAAGCTCCACAAAATTACCAAAATACCCCTAGAACCCTAAAATTTTCAAAAATTGCCAAACTTCTTAAATTCTCACCAAAATCCTGTCAATCCACTTTAAACCATTCAAATTGTCCAAAATACCCCAATTTCCCCCTAAATTCCCAAAATACTCTTACATTAACCAAAATTTTCAAAATACCCCCATTTACCCAAATTTGTCAAATTCCACCAAAATTCCATAAGCATACCACAACACTTCTGAATGGATCCTAAACCTCCCCCTAAACCTCCCAAAAATTCCCAACCTCCCAAAAATTCCCAAATTGACCCAATTTACCTAAATCCACCAAAATTACCAAAATTGCCCATAAATTCCAAAGTACCCATTTTTCACCCAATTGACCAATTTGGCCCCAATTTTCACCCAATTCACTTCCAACCTCCTCAATTTCATAATTCAAATCCAATCTTACTCAAATTCAAACCCATTTGATTTAGCCTACGATTAACTTCAAAAAGAAAATCATGTTTCATGCATTTTAAAAGCCCATCTTCATATGAATAATTAAAAAGCCGATCTCCACATGCCTTTCCAAAATCCCATTTCATTAATTTGAAAAGCCCAAATCCAACCCCACATGACAAATTTTTTTCCCTAATCATTCTTTTAAAGAAACCATGCATCATGGCATCATATCATGCATACACTTAATTTTTTGGCCAAATTTGGTATCATGGTATTTTCCCCCAAAATTTAAAAAAATTAAAGTTTCCCTTTTCATGAAATTTATTCATGACATCATGCATGGCATGGCATGACCATATTGACCTCACTTTTGTTGAGGTCCAGTCTTTCTTCCTTTGAAACCTAGGATCTAGCCATAGGACTTTCTTGTTGACTATGCTAGAGGACTAGTGATGGTACCCTACCCCAATAGAAATTCTGAACATCTTTGCTCTTCTTGGATTTTAACATGCATGGTTTTTCCCTCAACCACTTAGTGGGATGGAATCAGCATGGGGGAGGAGCTCAAGAGGAGTCTCCACAGGATTGTCAGGCCTTAGGGTTAGCCCTAGGTGGCTTGGTTTTGCTATTGGTTAGACCTACACACACAAACATTTGAACCCTATCTAAACATTCCCAAAACCCTAAAATAATCCACCCTTAACAAAATTCCTCTCTTTTGGAAAACCATGTGGGTGGTCCCCCAAACTCTTAGCCTTTGGCTAGGATGACTAGGACCAACACACGGAGGATTCAAAATGGCCATCTCTTTGGTCTCATGGCTGAAAGAAGGTAATCGTCATGATTGGCAAATCCAATATCCTTCAATTCCACTTAAACACCCATCCTTGGCCTCCTACCCTCAAATTTTTCCAAAATTACTAAAATGCCTCTAAAACTCTATTTTTCCCAAAATTGCTCAAAATGTAAATTTTCACCCAAAAATCAAATTGAATCACTTCAAACCATTCAAGTTCACCAAAACTCCCCAATTTCGTCAAAATTCCCAAAATACCCATAATTTTCCCAAAATTACCAAAATGCC